ATAATTCTGTAGATATTTTTTGTGTATCTATATCTTATAGCTTATTTTTCTTTATTGTTAATATTAATTGCAGTTAATTTTTTATTATTAATTTTCCATAAATGGCAGTAAAACTCTTTCTAAAGAGGAAAGAGTTTCTTTTTCTCTTCTCTTTTTCTTTTTACTTGGAATTCTAAACATATTGTTGCATGGAACAGAAACCGCACAAAACGGGTTTTTTGTTCAAAACCTGCAAAGTTGGTTTGCGCTTCTATCAAAAAGATGTGACATGCTTTGAAAATTTCACGAAGCTATGAAATCGAAACATTTGTAAATATTTCTGTATATAGGACTTGTGTATATACATATATTTATCTCATTTATCCATATATATTCAAGAATATTGTGTATATCCAGAAAAACCATGTATACAGCCATAATACATTGTTTTTTCATTACTATACATAAGCTTCTACTAATTTCCGTGCTTCACTGCAATGCTCGCTTAGTCGCACTTTTAAGAGCTCTGGTGGCGCAGTGATCCACCTCCTGGAACACCCACAGAATTGAAACGGTAAGTGCAATTTTTACAAAATTTTATCTGTTTACTCCTTTAGGCCTAGATAGACTGCATACAACTTTTCTGCTTGAAATACCGACTTTAAAGTGTAGTGCACCACAAAGGGATAAAGCAGTAGTAATCCTCAGCATAAGGTATTTCAGTGACAATGAAAATGCCTCACTTTACTAACATTTTAAACCAAACAGCAAATCAGATTGGACAAATGTTTAGGGAAACAGAGGTCCAGTGATTTGCTAGCCTAGTCAGTAGTAAGCAAGTGAATTAAATGAGGGCTAGTGTGTCGAAAGGTGGACTTTGAGCCAAATAGCCAGTGAGTCCAGTGAGTCGAATGAATGAGGACTAGTGATCAATTGGGTCAGTGAGTGGACCAAGTAAGTGAGGTCCAATGAGACGAAAAGTGTTTTAAGATAAAGAAAAGATAAAGGAAGACATTTACCTGATGCAGTAGTGAAAAGCATCTTCGCATTCAAATAATAATCTTCATAATTTCCAGTTATACTGTGCACTCTTCCTTCTATATGTCCAGTAAAATTAAATTACGTTTTTTGTCTATTTTATCTATCTAATACTGTGTTTATATTTTTTGATTCATATTCAATGATTTTCTTTAGTTTTGAGGTTACGCATCTTTGCACGAAATGCTGTGTTGTAAAGTTTAAATAAGAAATTATCTGTGGTCCAGGAATGAATTAATTCATTGCATATTAATTCCTGTAGGGAAAAATGTTTCGGTTTAGAAATATTTCCGTTTAAAAAGGGCATTCAGGAACGAAATAAATTCGAGAAACGAGGTTTCACTTTAAATATTTTTGAGACCAGTTCTTAAGATTACATGAAGTAGAAAGAATAGAAATTGCAAGATATTGCAGTTTTGGAGATTTATTTAGAATTATCTGTAATTATAAAAATTATCGTTATTTATTTACCACGGTGAAGCAAGAAGAAATTTTTTTTTACTTTTTGAATAAACAATCCCAGACAGCCAGCTTCTGGTGCAGCAGTAAGGCAACATAACAAGCTTAATCATAAATACTCTCTTTTAATTTTAAGGTCTTTCTAAAAAGCAATGCCAAATAAAGTTGATTAGTCAATCATTCTTCAAATGTTGTTTCTCTTTTAGATCAGATTAAGTTCCATCTTCTACAGGAAATAGTAGTGTCTCAAGAATAAAAAAGAGGACATAAACGTTAAAGAACATATTAATTCATGACAGTAAAAATGAAATTTTATGAAATACGTGAACAACTGCTGGTAACGAACAAAGCAAATAAAATCGAGTATTTATTCAAGAGAAGATTTTGAAATTACGGGAACTAATTTTCATCGAAGAAAAGCATTACTTTCTTTTTATTGTAAACTTTAGAAAATGGTTATTGTAATAAACATTTTTCTCATTTCTAAGTATTATTTATATTACTTTTACAAATATTATTTAAAATTCTATAGGATATATTTGAATTTAAATAAAAACTGATGTCAAATAAATGAGTTCAGACAACAAATTAGCTTTGACATGAATGGTGTAAATTAACAAGTTGTTCTTAATTTGAATTTTTGTGTTATCGTACTCTAACAAATATTCAGGTTCAGTTCAAAATTGATAAACAAAGTGATATTTAAATTTTAAGTTTATTCAAAAATTAGTCCGGCTTAGTCTGCGAAAGGGACTTGAAGATACGTAATAAAATATTAAAGTTTTCGTTTAAAGATGTTTAAACAAGGCAAATGTGTAAATCCCTGAATTAAAAAAAAATAAGTCTGATAATTTAAATTAGGTACAGATTCGTAAGAGTAGATCATAGGTTCCCAATCATTTTTGGACTACCTTAAAAAAAATTACTCGCTGCCCCCTTTTCCAGGGAAAAAAATTGACTCCTGTTCTTAAAATCAATAACGTAATCTTTTTTTTTTTTTTTTTTTTTTCTTCAGTTTTTGTGGTTTATAGCTACTTTTCCAAACAGTGATTCTATAGTCTTCTTTGATGAAGTGCACTTTATATACTGAAACACAAGAGCAGGTTTTGAAAATTACATTATTAAGCGATATCGATATATGGAAGTTTTTCTTAAAGTTTGATTAACAAATGTATATTATAAAAAATATGTAACATGAGCAGTAAGAGAGTTACGCTTGGAGTAATGACACTAATGTTTCGATGTTTAGTGCCACGTTTATCATCAGAAAATCTTAAATCGCCGCGTTTCACTAGTGTCAGTTTATTTCTTTTCTTTGTTAATAAATTGGTAAATACGTTAATCTTCTTTAGGCTAAAAGAGGATGTGAATGCAAGAAAAACTTCTTTGATGTAGTTCAAAAAGCTAGATATAATACTGGGATGTGTGGGATATGGCTTTGAAGACAAAAATTTTGATATCCTTTCTTTAATTTCAGTTTTAATTCTTCATTTGCTGACAACTTTAGGACCTTCTGTTGCAGTGATAATTCTGCTGTTTGTAGGCTTGAGAAATGTTGCACGATACAACTAGAATGAAAATGTCCTGAAATTTATTTGCAACACCTTTTTTAAGTCCTTTCAAATGCTAAAAAATACCAGAATATCGTCATCATATGTTTTCACAGAGGAAGATTTGAAAACTGATTGACCTGTCTTCGACTCAAATTTTGTTTGTGCAAAGCAAGTATTGACACGAACGCAGAGAACTTCGGTGCATCATTCTACTTACTTAACTATTTGTTGAAACAGGTCTTCGATAATTTTTAGTATTCAATACGTTCTTACGATATTGCTTAGGAAGGGGACAGTTAATTTTCAGAGCCCCAAATTTGTTTTGGATCAAAAACTCTCCATTAGATCTTTTCAACATCCATTGGTTATCAGTATCGACCCCTTTGGGAAACACTAGTGTAAATGATATTAGATGTACATGCAGCTATAATTATAGTAGGAGCTAGATTTACTATCAATTCGAATAAAGCCATTCAAGTTTAAAAAGTTGCATCAAGCATCTTTAGCATACTTTTCTTTTGCTTTGGCTACTTAATGAAATTTACAAAGGAAAGATTGAACTCAACATAAAACAGTCTATTCTAGTTTTCTTGAAAAAATTCCAGCAGACAAATTTCATCAACGAGTGTTCAAGGTAATGATTTTGAGTGCCTTTGAAACGCTAATATTACTATGTTTTGCATAATTATCCACTCTCTGTCCCTCAAATATTGTGTCTAATAAATGGACACAATATTTGAACCTTTAATAATGAATTTTATTACCTACTACAACTTACAAAAAAACTGAGATGAAGTGCTCAGTTGGTTTAATTATATAAACAAATTAAGAACGCAGTAAGTAAGATTGCTTTTAAATTATTTACATAAACTGTTCAGGTAATCAAAAGTCTTGTTTAAGGTTTTATTATTAAATGAAGCATATTCGATGCAGGTGCAAGTTTAGTGAGTAATTGCAGCCAAATCCCTATACAAGAAGGTCTTGGCTTTAAAGCCAAGTACTTTTCAAGTGAATATACCGTATTTCATCGCGTAATTTTTTCACTATCCTTTTGCGCTATGTCCTGAAAATTTTAAATATTATTCGGGTAATTTTTCCCCCTTCATCTGTTGTACATAGGTTTTCCTTCTGATGGATAATTTGTAGCTAAAATGTATTCCCTTCACTATTTTGATTTATATTCAGTGTATCCAATTTATATTTTTATATTAGCATACCATCCATTTTGTTTTCCCTTGCTTTTTATTATTTGAAATATATTTTTTGGAGACTCATCGTTAAGTTCTCGGGCGTGGCATGTGTTCTCACATTTAAAAAGCTTCACATAATTTCACTTTTATTCTGAAATAACAGAATACACTTTAGTTTGTTGTATCTTATCTGCTGCTATATTGGATCATTCTAAATCCCCGACTTTTGTTCACTCCCTTCTCCTTCGTTCATCCAATGCCTCTTTTTGAAACTGTGGTTGAGACTCATTTATGTGAAATGCCCCTGAGGTTTTACAAAGCAATTGAGCCGGACACGCCGCGCTCGGCTTAATTCCTGTCAGATATTGTAATACTAATATCACTATGTATTTTTATCGGAATATAAATTTCTTTTAAAGAAATAATTTTGTGATAGTTACCAGTACTGTAACCGCGTTTTTTGGAAATTAAATTACCCATATAATTAACGTTTTTCTTTCTAATTCTCAGGCTATAAAATTAGTTAAAAAAGAAGGAGAAAATGCACGAGAAAAATGCAGTGAATCATGTAGTTTAATCATGTAGTCTTCTTCCCAGCAATTGTAAAAGTTCATATTATTTCCATTTATTAAAATATCTAAATTATTGACTTTCATAAATTTCTATTTTTGGAAAACGCTCGATATGCTTGGTGTTATTACTATTTACGGGAATTATATGCATTACATAGCATTATATTCTTGAATCACTAATTTTACAAAAGAAATATTTTGAAACCAACCTTTCAAATATTTCGTTGGATTTTGACTTTCGTACTGCTCTATATCAACACCTACGACGAAGTATTCTCCGTCATCCAGGAGTCCTCTCTTTTGTAGACTCATCATCAATCCCAAGTGTTCATAGTAATAGCCCAAAATGACATAAACTGCAAAGAAATAATTATTAAGTATTATTATTTTAGTTTTGATTGTCATTTACCATGAAAATGAAACACACGCGTTACCATTTATCGGTATATGTACTAAGGATTTATTAACATGCATTAAAATCTAACTAATTTAAATTAAACAAAATGGACTATTGTCTTCAAAAAGAATAAGTTTGTAGGATTCTGTACTATCTAAGAGCTTGTGTTAAAGTCCCGAAGACTCTACTAGATTGATCGCAAGTTTATCGCTTAGTCTCAAACAAATCTCAGAGTTTAAAGAAGGTTAAAATAACCTTATCAAGTTAACAGAAAGCAAAACATGTGCGAAAGACGAACTCCCGCGACATGCGGTTATTAAAATTAACATAACAAAAAGTTAAATTTTAAATGTATTTAACGCAGTCGGAAACTACACATAAAATAGACTACTCAAGCTGGCTCAGATATTTAATGGCGCGCATTTTAAATGTCGGCTAACTAAATGCTAAAGGCGAAATACGTACTACAATTCAGGTAGAGCCAGCGACAGTAACAGCAAGACGTTGTTGCCAAAAGTCCTCAACTAAATATTTAAAAACTTTAGTTTAAATACAGAGAACCTTAATTGCATTTTGGTGAGGACTATGGAAAGAAGTCGCAGTAAAGGTTTGAATCATAATAATTGATTATTTAACATAAAACAGTTTATAGGTTTCTTTAAAAATGGTGTGAAAACAAGCATTTACACTTGAAATGTGATTAATTAATGTTCATCGAGTTTGCTCAACGTGAGGGCATAATTTTCACCGAACTGATTTATTCCCCGCTTTATTGACAGCGTGCTGCCAAGTAGAAGAATACTTATTTCCTTCCTACTCTTCTTTGTGCTATCTCAGCAGTGATGGTACAGTGAAAATCTTTCAACTTGCGAAAGTGACTCGTATAGCCAAAAGAACTATGAGCTTAGAACAGCAGAGAATGGCTCGATTAACTTCATTTTGTGGCAAGTATCTTCATTCATCAAAGAACGATGTTATTCGGTTATGAATTCGACCAACTATTGTGCACGTGCGCCATGTGCTCTCACCTTAAACTAAATTAGACAGGAGTTACAGAAGCTTACTTACAAAAATATCTGCATAGATTCATGAATAGATAAGCAGCAGTGATTTTGATTTTTCCTTGTTCAATATTTCGTCGGCAATTTGTTTAGCATAACCGTTACGGATAAACACGTATCTCATGATAGCGTGTAATTAAGCTGTGAATAGAACTTCAAGGATTGTGAAAATGATGGGGATAGCTAGTTTGTATCTTTAGAAATATTTCATATAATCATGAAAATTAATTTAGTAGCTACTAAAAAAAGAAAAATTAATCACATATGAAAGTATATATATTACTGGCACTACGCAAGTGTAAGTACAACTGTTATTCTAATTTGCTAGTAACAAATTAAAAGACGGTAACATTTATCATAAATTTAAAATCGAGTTATTGCATTCTATACAGATCAAAGTATTTATTTTATTTTAAGATCACGTGTTGATTGGGCATACATGGTAATTTACATCATTAATTTATTTTGATACTACCATAACATTTTCTCACTATGATATTTTATTACAGCATTTCTTCATTATGACAAACGGTGCTATTGAAATTGTGTTGTTATCTGAAATCAAACAATGAATCGTCTTTTAAAAAATGCATGAAAAGCTAAGAAATATCCAAAAACTGAAAATTATAAGACTGTTAGTTATAACGTTGCGCGCCTCCAACTTGCACGCAACCAAGAGGTGACTGTGAAAACTTGTATAAAAGATAGAGCCTTGTGAAGGGTTTAAGTCCCTTTTTATTCAACGTAATAAATTACAATTGCGTGCTCTTGACGCTTACAGACGGTGCCAACTCGGCAGTCAAATAAAAATAATAACCTGAAAAGAAACTAAAGACAAGATTCTAACTACGAGGCTCTCTAAAATAACTAACTCACCGCGTTTTACAATACCGCTGCTAATTCAGCAGACTTGAAGCTCACTGGAACGATTAACACTACTTCCCGCCAAGCACATAGGCCGAAACGCGGGGTCCTTCAAATTCTCGCTAACTACCTCCGCGCTCGTGCAGTAAGAATATATCACACCGAACTCGTTTCCTTCCTATTTAAATCAGAATACTTCCGCTGATAATTTGAATCCTTGCACGTTCTACTAAAATTTACATATTCTGGCATTGGCAGTTCCAGGGGAAAGTAAGGCTTGACAGGAAAGATAGTTTAAACTTAAAATAAATGTTAGTTAAAATAAATATAAACCCTACATAGTAATCCAGAAAGTCTTTGATATGAAATGAAAATAAATTCGAAGAAAGACTATTTACGTTAAAAACATTTTAACAGTAAATTTTTTTCTTACCATGAAATCAAGAATTTAATAAATTCATCGAAAATGTTCTTGGTTTAATAGATCTTAAAATTTACACATATCTTTTGGTAAATAATATAGATATCGTTGCATTTATTTCCTTATGAATATCGAAACTCAGAGAGAAATTTATTTTATATGAAGCTAGGTATAGCACCTCAGTAATTTTGCAGAAATAATTAATAATTCAGTTATCTCAACCGAAAATTCAGATTGAAAGTTCAAATAATTTTTCAAAAGTATTCCACTTCCTATTAAAGAAGATTCTTAGTTTCCCTTTTTATTTCTCTAGAGGAAACGTTCGGTTCGATTGAAGTAACGTTAAAAAATTTTACTTCAATTTACACTTTTTATGTTCCCTTGGGAGCTTAACGAGGATATATTACGGAATAGCTCTAGTACAACAAGTTATACAGATGTAATGTTAAGACGGTCTCACTGGTTTCTTCTATCTCCTTTTTAAATGAATTAATTATAGATCTTACGGAGGGTGTGCCTATTTGCAGCTATTTAATATAATGAAATATATTAAACCTTAAATCACAATAAGTGAAATCTACGAAAATGCTTAAAGCTTTTGAGTTGAAACAATCAACCGATTGTGGCGAAGTTGCCAAACTTTGATTAGTGGATATGATTATTAACCAACTTCTTTTTTCAAAAACGTATCAGTAATTAAGGAAAGAAAATTGAGTAAAGTATCTTTTGATTGATTTGAGTTATTATCTCGTGTTAAGTGCTCAAAAAGGAGCAGCAAGAATCATTGTAAGTTTTCTTCTTATACAAATGCCCTAAGCAATTTATTAAAATAAAATCTCAATTGTTTTATGCATGCAATTGTGAATAAAAATGAGAGGATACTTACGTATTACCCCTTCGAACCATGAAACCGTCAACAAGAATCGCATTCTAGATACGCCACGTTATATTTTCATGAACAAGGATTTAAATTAACTGTTACTGCTATATTTTCCCCCTGTATTTTAAAAGATGATCAAAAGTTAGGGCCTTCTTGGAAGAGCAAACATTTGGTTATTTTCAAAGTTATCGGATCATACCATAAAAAAGTGTGTAAGAAATTTTATGTGGAAATATATTTTAATCTCCAAAGAGGGCGTAAATCTTTCATGATGTATACTTCTTGTTCTTGGATCTGGCACCGCCAGTTGAATGTGTGTTAGACATGAATAAACTTGGGAGTTTAGAAACCTGATTTGTAGTGTTCATGTACCTTGATGTTATGTGTGATTCGAATTAGTGTTTTTTGAACTAAGATATCATGCAATTCTTGACAGTTAATATAATATTTTATAGTTTTGGCGCCCAACAGTTGCGCACGAACAATTTTTTTTTATTTAGAATGCGGTGTTTTTCGTGTTACTGAAAAATTATTCCTTTGCCCTGAACATGGCAGGATTAACGTTCGGAATACGTGTGAATGTGTTTCACCAGGAAAGTGAGTTACCAAATTAGGAATTAACCATTTGAAGCCTGCACCTAGGTAAGAGAATAAAATTACTTTTGTTGTTATTATGGCAGACGATATTATTAAATTGAAATCTGCTAGAAAAGTCCTGAGACAAGCTATTTCTAAAATAATAAATGTTGTAGAACCTGAAATTAAAAAAGACATTTGGGATAAGAATATGGTAGAAGAAAATGGTGTTTTACTTACTTCTAAATAGTCTGCGTTAAAAGAAATTAATGAAAAATATTGGATTGTTTTAAAGGGGATGAGTCTGAAATTGAGAAAGAATGTAATACTGTGTTAGACTATGATGAAAAATTAAGTTTATGTATTTTTAGGGCTAAAAAGAAACTTAATTTAAATTCTCAGATAGTGAGCATTGAAAGTGAATCGCCTGGTAACCATACTGCTGCCGTAAAGGTCGAAATCGAAACTAACATTCAATTACCTAAAATTTCAATTCCTAAATATTATGGTGTTCCTAGTTTATTTTTGGAATTTTGTAATTCCTTTGAAAATGCTATTGGTAATAATAATGAGTTAACAAAGGTCGAGAAGTTTACCTATCTTAAATCCTTACTCGCAGGACCTGCTTTAAGTGCGGTATCCGGGTTTGCACTATCTAATGAAAATTATGACGCTTCTGTATAAGCCTGTTTTCTTTAATTTAATTAAAGAAAAGATTTGGACGAACAGATTTGGTAATATCTTCGCACATGAATAAACTCTTGAATCTTGAACCGGTTAGAAGTTCGTCCAATGTGAAAGCACTAAGAACACTATACGATTCCTGTGAAATCAATATAAGAAGCTTAAATTCATTGGGTATTGTGTCGGAAGCTTACGGAACCCTTTTAGGACCTGTTATTTTAAAACTTTTACCAGACGATATGAATCTGGAGTTTAATAGAAAAAGAAACTCTAAACAGCAATATAGCGTAACAGAACTTCTCGAATTCATTAGATTGTAAATATATGTAATCAAAATACACATGATGTAGGAAAATGTGAGAAAACTAATGAGCAAAAAAGAGCGATATTAAAATACCATGGACGTTGTTACAGATGTTTTAAGTGCGGTCATGTAGTTTCCAGATGTAAAATGAAACTTCAACCTTGTGAGT